GTACTCTGGATGTGAGTGGACTACAACACCCATCATCCGCTGGCCATCTCCCCCCTCCCACACACACAACCCATCAATATTTTAAGTTGGTCATGATGGGTCTACCTGCCAAGTTTGCTCCAGATCCATCGACAGCAGGTTTGACAGTTCTCTCTGGATGTGAGTGGACTACAACACCCATCGTCCTCTGGCAGTCTCCCCACACACACGCACACACAACCCATCACTATTTTAAGTTTGTCATGACGGATATACCTGCCAAGTTTGCTCCAGATCCATCGACAGCAGGTCTGACAGTTCTCTTTGGATGTGAGTGGACTACAACACCCATCGTCCTCTGGCAGTCTCCCCCCACACACATGCACACACAACCCATCACTATTTTAAGTTTGTCATGATGGGTCTACCTGCCAAGTTTGCTCCAGATCCATCGACAGCAGGTTTGACAGTTCCCTCCAAATGTGAGTGAACTACAGATCCCATCACCCTGCATCAATGGCTTTTGCAACCTGCCAGCATTTTAAGTTGATCAGGATTGGTCTTGTTCCAGGTTTAGTCCAGATCTGTCATCAGCAGGTTAGACATTTCTCTCTGGATGTGAGTGGACTACAATTCCCATCATCCTCTATTAATTTCTCCCAAAAGATCCCAAATTGATCAGGATGTGTTTTAGGCCAGGTTTGGTCCAGATCCATCATCACTGGCCATGATACCGTTCTTTGGATGTCAGAGCTATCCCAGAAAATAATAATAATAATAATAATAATAATAATAATAATAATAATAATGTATATACATAGATTCCTTATGGGGCAGAGTAGCTTGTTTTGTGGTTCAGATGAATAGAGCTCCTTAGCATGCCTTTTGAAGGATGGATTTCTCTCGGATTTCCCCGCTATTTGTTTGACGCTTGAAATGGGTTTCCTTCTAAGCAGTTGGTTGCATTACCTGATTAAGGACTTTATTACTCCTTTATTGCTTTGGACTCTGGGCGGCTTTTAATTGACTCCCCTTCTCTTGCGGTTTGTGATTGGCTTGCGTTGCTGGAAACATGGGTTTTTCCTCCCCCTCCGATTTGCGTTTTCCGTTGCTAAAAATACTGGTTGGCTTTCTCCTGGTGCCCTGCAAAGCTTGTTTTGGTAAATGAAAGGAGACCAGTCGCAAATTGGGAACGGGCACATCTGCAATTGAATCAGACATCTACAAACCCAGGAACGGGAGCAAAATGGGGACGTTTGCAAATACCCAATTATACGGCGCATTCCCCATTCCACTCCATTGCATCCCAGCTTATTTGGGGTTGCCAATGGGATGGGAAAGGGCAAAGACCTGGAAATTAAACCCATCAGTTAGCCTAAATGGATCCAATAAGGCTGCTTACCCAACCTGGGTGCTTTTCCTCTCAGCCTTTCGTCTCCAACGAACAAAGCCAGCAAATTAATTAAGTAAGGGAGGCATTAGCAGAGCAAATGAGTTCTTTCAGCAACCCACTGATTGAGTTTGATAAGATGTCTCTTATCTATGAGTTAGCTATCTATTTATTTATTAGGAGAGCGGTAGATCTTCTCATTCTTTGGGGTTGATACTGGTCCTTCCAGGCTCCTAATTTGGCTCTTCATAGTCCTTTCATAGAATCCTAGAGTTGGAAGAGACCTCATGGGCCATCCAGTCCAACCCCATTCTGCCAAGAAGCAGGAAAATTGCATTCAAAGCACCCCTGACAGATGGCCGTCCAGCCTCTGTTTAGTCTCCGGGATAGCAAAAAACAAACTATGACTTCCCCTCACCTCTTAATCAATGGTCCTCATCATGTCACCTCTCAGCCTTCTCTTCTGTAGGCTAAACAGGCCCAGCTCTTCAAGCCACTCCTCATAGGGCATGTTTATTTATTTATTTGGAAGATTTCTATACCGGCCTTCTCACCTCAACCGAGGGACTCAGGTCGGTTTACAGCATATATGCAATTACAAAATATACAAATACAACCGAGTGCAACATCATTAAGGATTAAAACAACACAGTAAAATACAATAAAACATCATCATTACAATTACCCAGGCCAAAACGTCAATACAATCGCAGTCGTAGTCGTAGTCACAGTTCATTAAAGATTCAGTCCTCAAAAGCCACATTCCAGAGCCAGGTCTTTAGTAATTTCCTGAAAGTCAGGAGGGAGGGGGCAGATCGGATCTCTAGTGGAAGGGAGTTCCAGAGCCGGGGAGCCACCACCGAGAAGGCCCTGTCTCTCGTCCCCACCAAGCGCGACTGTGAGGGTGGTGGGACCGAGAGCAGCCCCCCCCCGGAAGATCTTAATAGCCTTGATGGCTCATAGGGGAGAATCCGTTCGGACAGGTAAACTGGGCCAGAGTCGTTTAGGGCTTTGTAGGTCAAAACCAGCACTTTGAATTGTGCTCAGAAGCACAATGTTCTCCAGACCCATGATCATTTTAGTCACCCTCCTCTGGACACATTCTAGCTTGTCACATCTCCCTTCAATGCC